AACTTCTGACCTCAAGTGATCCACCTGCCTCGGCCTCCCAAAGTGCTGGGATTACAGGCTTGAGCCACTGTATCTGGCCCCATTCTTCATGCTCTTATATGACTGTGTAGTATTTCACTGTGGGCATGTACTGTTATTTATTTAGCCAATCTAAATTGTTGGGCTTTTAGGTCACTTGTGATCTTCAGCTATTATGAACAAGGCTGCAGAGAAAGTCTCTGTATGTATGTTGTATTTTAAGATAAGTTCTTCAAAAGGAATTTGCTGGCTCTAAAGGCATAGCATTTTTGTCTCTGACACATATGGCAATTACCCCCTACCCCCGTGGAGTATAAATGGGTTTAAAACCTTTATCAGCAATATATGATTGTGCCTTTTTCTCCGCTGCCTCACCATGTGCTGAACTTGGCTAGTCTAGATAGCTGAAAAATTGTATCTGGTTTGTTTGTTTGTTTGTTTTGAGATGGAGTCATGCTCTTCTGCCAGGCTGGAGTGCAGTGGTGTGATCTCAGCTCACTGCAACCTCCACCTCCCGGGTTCAAGATTCTCCTGCCTCAGCCTCCTGAGTAGCTGGGATTACAGGCACGTGCCACCATGCCTAGCTAACTTTTTGTATTTTCAGTAGAGACGGGGCTTCACCGTGTTAGTCAGCATGGTCTCTTACCTCCTCACTCCACGGTCTGTCCTCCCAGAGTGCTCGGATTAAAGGCGTGAGCCACCACAGGCGGCCTGGCACTCCACCAGGTCGGTGGTATCATCTCATTTTGCAGGTGGGGAAATAGAGGCACAGGGAGATTAATTCGCTTGCCAAGGTTATCCAGCTGGCAAATGCTAGGGCCTGGATTAAAACCCTGGGAGCTTGAGAAAGCCAGACCTGGGTGTGAATCCAGCTGGGCGTGGCAGAGCTCTCTGAGGCATGGTTCATGCATGTAAAATGGGAATAAGGCCAGTGACCTCACACGACGGTGCTGCGCGGAGCCGGCATCAGTGAACAGTTAGCAGTTGCAGCAGTGATGCTATAGCTCAGCTTACTTTTTTGGAGACAGGGTCTGGCTCTGTGGCCCAGGCTAGAGTGCAATGGTGCAATCTCTGCTCCTGCAGCCTCCGCCTCCCATGCTCAAATCATCTTCCCACCTCAGCCCCTGAAGTAGGTGGGACTACAGGCGCGTGCCACCACGCCCAGCTAATTTTTTATTTTTTGGGGGCGAGGGAGAGATGGGGTCTCACTATGTTGCCCAGGCTGGTCTTAAACTCCAGGGCTCAGTAATCCTCCCAACTTGGCCTCTCACAGGGCTGGGATTACGGGGGTGAGCCACTGGCCTGACTATGTGGATGACCTTTGAGAAGGAAGGTTAGCCGATTCTTCGGGGACACACACACAGGCGGGGAGGCACAAGGTAGGGCCCTCCACAGTAGCTGTACCTGCAGCAGTGCCCCGCGTGACAGAGGTGGTCGGTGAATGTTTGCTGGGTGGGCAAGCGGATGGACAGATGGATGGCTGAACGGACGGACAGATGGATGGCTTGGGTGGGTATGTAGCTGGGTGATCAGCCAAGTGTCTCCTGGCGAGGACAGAGTCATCCAAATTGAGAACCGCTGTCCTGTGCATATGCAGGAATGCATGGAATAGCAGTTCTCAATCTGGGTGATCGTTGTCATTAGTAAGAATAGTGGCTCCCTTACTGTCCGAACTCCACCCCCTGCACTTGGAAGTCTGTGCTCTCTGGACCCAGGTGGATTGGACAGCGTGTGTGTGCACATCCGTGTGTGTGTGTGTGCATGCTCACGTGTGCACATTTTCCCTTTGTGTTAACATAAACAGAAGCACGAAGCCTGTGGCCTGCATCTGGCTTTGCTTACTTGGCAGCGTATCTTGGAGCACTGGCTCTCAGACCTGTGTTTCGCTTGACCCACCACGCGGGATAAGAATTCTTTATTGGCCGGGCGCGGTGGCTCAAGCCTGTAATCCCAGCACTTTGGGAGGCCAAGGCAGGAGGATCATGAGGTCAGGAGTTCAAGACCAGACTGACCAACGTGGTAAAACCCTGTCTCTACTAAAAAACACAAAAATTAGCTGGGCATGGTGGCTCGTGCCTGTAATCCCAGCTACTTGGGAGGCTGAGGTAAAAAGAATTCCTTTTTTTTTTTTTTCCTACACTTTCACCCAGGCTGGAGTGCAGTGGCGTGATCTCGGCTCACTGCAACCTCCACCTCTCAGGTTCAAGCGATTCTCCTGCTTCAGCCTTCTGAGTAGCTGGGACTACAAGCGTGCACCACCACATGCAGCTAGTTTTTGTGTTTTTAGTAGAGATGGGCTTTTTTTTGGCCAGGTGGGTCTTGAATTCCTGGCTTCAGGTGATCCACCTGCCTCGGCCTTCCAAATTCTGGGATTACAGGGATGAGCCACTGTGCCCAGCACGAGAACTCCCTTGTATGTCAACACCCAGGACCTGCATACATATATGTATTTGTATATATACACATATCACTGAACACAAGTGTCGTGAACTAACGCCTGTCATTACAATATGTGATACACATCAATATTTTCTATTCTTTTTCCACTGGTGTTTTTTTGGGTGGCGGGGATGGAGTCTCCCTCCCTCTGTCGCCCAGGCTGGAGTGCAGTGGCACAATCTCAGCCTACTGTAACCTCCATCTCCCAGGTCCAAGTGATTCTCCTGCCTCAGCTTCTCAAGTAGCTGGGATTACAGGTGTGCGCCACCACACCAAGCTTATTTTTGCACCTTAAGTGGAGACAGGGTTTCACCATGTTGCCCAGGGTGGTCTCGAACTCCTGACGTCAGGTGATCACCTTGGCCTCCCAAAGTGCTGAGATTACAGGCGTGAGTCACCTTGCTCAGCCTCCACTGTTTTTTTAAAGTGCTGGTCACAATCCCCTAAGGTGACATGAGCCATTACCAGTGGGTACTGCGTGCAGGGATTTTTTCTTTTTGGTTTTGTTTTTGCAGACACCATCGGGGAGGATTGTTGTGATGCGGGAGTTAGAACTTGGCCACTTGCAGGCTCTGTGACCTTCGGCAAGCAGCTTGCGTCTCTGTTAGGCTATGGAATGATAGGAACAGCGGCCACTGTGGAGAGCTGTGACAGTTAAATAAACTAATGGCTGTAAATTGCTAGAAGTATATTAACATTAGAATGTTTGAGAACAGAGTTGGGCATTTTGAAAGAGCAATGAAGGGAACGAAGCCAGGCAAACTTTGTTTTTGCTTATTTGATTTTTATTCACTTGTTTATTTTTCCAGGCAACTTTCTATAAAGAGGCAAGAGTAAACGTTTCAGGCTTTTGTGGGCCATATGGTCTCTGTCATTATAGCGCAAAAGCAGCCACAGACCATATGTAAATGAATGAGCACAGGAGTGTTCCAATAAAACTTTATTTAAGGACACTGAAATTTGAATTTCATGTAATTTTCGCAAGTCACAAAATAGTATTCTTCTTATGATGTTTTTTTCTTCAACTATTTAAAAATGTAAAAACTATTCTTAGCTTGTAGGCTGTAGTTTGCATCTTTCTTTTGATATCTTTATTGTGTTTTGTGATATGGACACACCATGATTTCTTTATTCAGTCCCCTTTTCAGGAATACTTCAGGGGGTTTATTTGTCATCATTTACAACCAACACTCATGAGCACAGTGGTTCACACCTGAAATCCCAGCACTTTGGGAGGTCGAGGCAGGCGATCACTTGAAGTCAGGAGTTTGAGACCAGTCTGGCTAACATGGTGAAACCCTGTCTCTACTAAAAATACAAAAATTAGCTGGGTGTGGTGACAGGCGCCTGTAATCCCAGCTACTTCGGAGGCTGAGGCAGGAGAATCATTTGAACCTGGGAAGCAGAGGTTGCAGTGAGCCAGGAGGGCATTGCAGTGAGCTGAGATCGCACCACTGCACTCCAGCCTGGGTGACGGAGTGAGACTCCACCTCAAAAAAAAAAAAAAAATTATTGCACCCATGCTTCGCATACAGGTGTGAAAATACTTGTAGGGTAAATTTCTAGAAATAGAATTGCCAGATGCAAGGGGTAAGCTTTCCAACTGTTTTATGGAAAGTGCTAAACCTTTTCGAAAAGGTTCATGCCGGTGACGGCTTCGCTTGGTCCTGCAGCTTTACCGACACACCAGATTCGCAGCCCGCCTGCTCTTTGCCAGGCTGGAAAGTGACACACTCCGTGTGTTTTCTCTAATGGTGTGTGAAGCTGAGCATCTTGCCATCTCCACAGGGGGCTCTTGAAATCTCTTGTAAGCTGGGTGCGGTGCCTCATGCCTGTAGTCCCAGCTACTCAGGAGGGAGGCTGAGGCAGGAGGATTACTTGAGCCCAGGAGTTTGAGGCCAGCTTGGGCAACATAGCAAGACCTCATTTCTGAAAAAAAGAAAGAGAGAGAGGGAGGGAAGGAGAGAGAGACGGAGGGAGGGAGGGAGGGAGGGACAGAGGGAGGGAGGGAATCTCTTTGTGGACAGTCCAGTCATTTGGTAGCTTTTTTGCTTTGGGAGGCTAAGGTGGGGGGATCACTTGAGGCCAGCAGTTGAAGACCCAATAATAATAATAATTTTGTGCTCATTTAGAGAATGTAGAAAATACAGAAAAGAACAAAGAAGAGGCCGGGCGCCATGGCTCACTCCTGTAATCCCAGCACTTTGGGAGGCCGAGGCAGGCGGATCACAAGGTCAAGAGATTGAGACCATCCTGGCCAACATAGTGAAACCCCATCTCTACTAAAATACAAAAATTAGCTGGGCGTGGTGGCGCATGCCTGTAGTCCCAGCTACTCGAGAGGCTCTGGCAGGAGAATCACTTGAACCTGGGAGGCAAAGGTTGCAGTGAGCCGAGATCGCACCACTGCACTCCAGCCTGGCACCTGGCAACAGAGCGAGACTCTGTCTCAAAAAAATAAAAAAGAACAAAGAAGAAAAATATGTCACATGTAATTGTGCAAGCAGCTGGTAAAAATTCTTTTTTTCTTTTCGTTTTTTCTTGTGTTTTGTTTTTTGTTTTTGAAACAGTCTCCCTCTGTCACTTGGGCTGGAGTGCAGTGGCACGATCTCTGCTCACTGCAACCTTCGCCTCAGGAATGGAGGCAATTCTCCTGCCTCAGCCTCCCAAGTAACTTGGATTACAGGATACACCACCATGCCCGGCTAACTTTTGTATTTTTAGAGAGACAAGGTTTTACCATGTTGGCCAGGTTGGTCTTGAACTCCTGACCTCAAGTGATCCACCACCTCGGCCTCCCAAAGTGCTGGGATTATAGGCTTGAGCCACCATGCCAGGCCTAACTTTGTTTTTTCGAAGTTAAATATTGTAGAAGAAGCAACATTTTGGTATGGACTTTGTGTTTAGCCCCCTGCCCCCGCCACCCCAATTTTATTTAAAACATTTTTAAAATACGGTATTTTATTCACATGGTACAATCATCAAAAAAAATTTTTTTTAACTTTTTTTGTTTTTAGAGACAGGATCTTGCTGTGTTGCCCAGCCTGGCGTGCAGTGGTGCAAACACAGCTACACAATTCCCTACCGCCTCAAACTTCTGGGCTCAAGCAGCCTTCCTGCCTCAGCCTCCTGTGTACCTGGATCTACAGGTGTGCACCACCATGCCTGGCTAATTTTTTTTTTATTTTTGTAGTAATGAGATCTTGCTCTATTGCCCAGGCTGGTCTTGAATTCCTGGGCTCAAGCAGTCCTCCTGCCGTAGCCTCCCAGAGTGCTAGGATTACAGGCATGAGCCACTGAACCTGGCCTAATTTTTTGTTTCTTTTTTTGAGACGGAGTCTTGCTCTGTCGCCCGGGGTG